TATCTATCTATCTATCTATCTATCTATCTATCTATCTATCTATCTATCTATCTATCTATCTATCTATCTATCTATCTATCTATCTATCTATCTATCTAATTAAAGTGTTACCAATGAAACTAAACCACACAGCAGAATGTGTGTTATATGTAGATGCCCTTTCCTTCCACCAGTTTGATGACCATTACAGCAGAGTGGGTGCTTTGCTGGCTCAACACAATCCCAATTTCTGAAAGCCTCGGGTATTTTAGCTGTTTGTGGCAGTTTATGTTGGCCTTCGCTGAACGGTAATACAGAAAAAGCTGCCATAAAAATGTCATCTCTCTGTCTCGGCTCAACTTCAAAATGTGCCTTTTCTGACAAGATGCTGTAAAATTGAGTTTCCAAGCATCTGACTGTGTACGGCTGGGTGGGATATGCTGTGGTTTGCCATGACTGTGTGGAGACTGCAGGCCAGAGATGATGTGTGGCCATGGAAACAGTGGAGCCTTCATAAAAGCATTGATCCAGTAGGGATTTGGAGTCAGTCATCACATTTGTAGCTGAGTGAAAGATGATGTCATAACCAGCTAAACTACTTAAAGCCTTCATCCCTCCTAAGATGCTTGGGAAAGCTCATTCTGACCAACTCATAAGGTCAGAGATGTGCACACATTGGGATTTTTGTGGGCGACCACATTAGCAGAGTGACTCTTAACTGTGGCAAAGACAAGCAAGAACAAGTTTTACCTCATTAGCATGTTCTCAGGCTTTACTGGGACAAGACTCTACTGATTGCATAAGAGAAGCAGAATGTGTACTTAGTCACTGCTGATTTTTTCCAGACAAGCTTCTGGATCTCTGTCTGCTCGTATGCATATTATTTGCTTGCAGTGAAAGCCCATGTATGTTATAAAATGTGTAAGCATTTAACCATCTGTGCAAACCATCAGACAGATGTTTATGTAAATATGATTATGTCACCCAGTCAGGGATTATGCTGAAGTTAAGACACAGCAAGTCACCTGTTTTATCTTTATAAAAACACATGTCAAAGTCATTTATTATGTTTTTATGTATTTGTGAACATCTAAACCAGGCCTTATAGTTTAACCAATTTCATCTCTATGATCAGGATATGGTCAAGGATATTTATATCATTCTCTGTGGTTTTATGTGGTTTGGTTGCTTTAATGCTATCACCATATGACACCAGATGACAGCTGTGGACACAGCCAAGCAGCACACAGCAGAGCAGGTTCAATTAGATTTGCACTCCCTGCCATCCATCTCTACAATATCCTTAAAATGGGCACAATCCCAGCATTAGCAGTTACAGCCTGCCCAAGCTCTTTTGCAAATGCACGAAATTGCTTTGGAGCGGAAGGAGAGTGGGACTGAGGACATGGGAAGCACAGGAAGGACAATGAGAGAGGTCAAGTGAAGGGCAGGAGAGTTGAGAGCTAGTGAATCTTCAAAATGACACAATATACACTGTAGTAAAACATGTCAGCTCAAGTCATCTATGGGAGAGTTTGTGGCATGAGAATATCACCCTCAGTGACACAACATTAACATAAATATAACTTATAGTTCTGTCTGGTCATTTCACAAAGACTGTAAGATGCATTCCTTTAAGTGGAGGCTTGGCAGACATTCCTCTGCATTCTGACAGGGCGTGCGTGAGTTGACTTGTAATGAATACAAGCTTCCTCTGCAATCTGGATTAAGGGTCCACTTAATGCCCACCCTGTAAGGCTCTTATGGCTCATACATCCATATTCAAAATAAACGATATGTCACCAGCTCACTGGAGCACACCGGGAAGGATATAAGACTACACCCTTCACATCTGTGGAAAACATTAAGAGAAAAAAAAATTCTGATATTTGATGAGTGTAATTTTTTCAGGAAAGTCTATTCAGAAACACCACAACTACAATTCATACTATTATCACAAGGTATTATTACTGTTGCTACTCTTTTAAAGTAGCAACAATTTAACTGTCTTTTTGGCTTTTTTAGGTATTTGCTATCAATTCTAGTCCAAATGTGGCTTAAAACAAGCAATTAAGATTGTAAACTCATCAGGAACGTGTTTATTGAGGTAACAGATCAACTGAGAAGAAGGGTTGTTTTCCCACAGACTTCTGCACCAGTGCATCTTTCTTACAGGCAGCTAATAAGGAAGCCCCCCTGCTGGTTGCCTGAATTAGGTTTAGGGCACTTTGGCTTTATTTTTCAGCCTCTCAAGCTACACGGATTTTAGTAGGTATGCCTGCTTAACTCCCTGTCAATGCAAACATCTAATTGACCAATCAGTAGCTCAGTGTATTTTAGCATGCTGACAGGATCAGGGCTAGCATGGTGGCACAGTGGTTAGCACTGTCACAGCAAAAAAGTCTGCATGTGTTCTCTCTGATTTCCTCGCATACTCCAAAGACATGCGTGGGGTTACATTATCTGTGGATTCCAAATTGGCTGTAGGTGTGAATGCAAATGGCTGTTCACCTCTCCAAGTTGTAACATATTTCTTGCCTTTAGAAACAACACCATCATGACCTTGAATTTTATAAGTGGAAAAGGATGGATGGACATGGTCAAGACAACCTGCTGAAGTTCACACCGGACATAAGAATGAAGGTGACTTAAGTATCGTGGCACAGCAGTTGTTTGGCTGGTCTGAGTATTTTAGAAATTGCTGATCTACTAGGATTTTCCTGCACAACCATCCCCAAATAACCACTTGTTAAAAACAAAGCAGGCAGAAGAGCATTTCTGAACACATGCTGAAACTTAAAACAGATGGGCTACAACAGCATAAGACCACACTGGGTGCCACTCCTGTCAACTAAGAAGAGCAAACTATAGTTCACACAGCCTTACTAAAATTGTACAGAAGATTGGAAAAATGTTGGCTGGTCCAATTAGTCTGGGATTTCTGCTGAAATATTCAGATGCCATTGAGCTGAATTCGCTGCATACAACATGAAACAATGTTGCATTCAAGTCCTGCTTTATATCAACAGCTCAGGCTGTTGGTGGTGTAGCGGTGTGGGAAAATCCTTTAGCACACTTTGGACAACTTGGTACTAACTTAGCATCATTTAGCCACCACAGCCTTACTGATTATTGTTGCTGACCATGTCCATCCCTTTATGATCACAGTGTACCCATCCTCTGATGGCTGCCTCCAGCAGGATCATTTCAAATGTGACTCAGTCTAGTAGAACACCTTTGGAATGCTCTATTGGATTGGAATGGAAGATTCCCATAATGTATGTGCCGCTGAAAAATCTGGAGCAACCGTGTGGCTATCAGGTCACCATGGACCAAAATGTCTGTTTTCAACACATTACTGAACCTATGCCATGACGAATTAAATCAGTTCTACAAGCAAAAAAGTTAAATTCCATCTTTTATATACAGCCTATGTTCCCAATGTCAACATAAAACATCATTTAATGATTATTTTTTTCCCTAACATTAAAGATATTAACATTTATCAGCAGACACAGATAATTCAAACAATTAAAATCACTGCACCTGCTTGCCTCGATTAAGTTTAAACCAAACATTTGTGCAAATCAACAAAGAAGAAGAAATCTCTCCAGGCTTTTCAGAAGAATAAAAAATATGACTTTAATATATATTAATTAGCAAAATTATTCAGAAAACCTCACAAATTCACTCCAACATTAAAAACAAACGTTAGAAAATCAGCTAGCAATGAGTTAACTGAGCATTAAAGATTACACCGGAGCCCATCAAACAGCTTGATATGATATAAAATAAGACATTAGAGAAATGTACCATTGAGCACTTACCAGACAATTCCCTGAGCTCCAGAACCAATGGGCTTTAAATTCTGGTAGCGTTTTAAAACTGTGAAGGTAGAGTCTCCCACTTCCACACTGTAGAACTGGTTGTCCACTTTGCTTTTGCTCATGTTGTAATGCTTGGCAATATATGACACATCCACTTGTTTTCCAAAACCCTGCAAAGGGATGACATAAAATGCATATGTAACACATCTAGGCTGCACATTTGTTTTTATCAGGCTACTCATTTTAAAATCAATATCGAATCATTGTTATACGTTATATGATATATAGCCATAATAACCATCATTTATATCTAAGAAGAGCATCACATGATAACATGCATTTAACTGCTGTAAAGGCAAAAAAAAAAGCATACATTAAGGTATATTTGGTAAAAATGGTAAAGTAGAATAAACAAGACAGGACATAAGGTTTAGCCGAGTTTACAGCTGAACGAATTCAATGCAGAAATATAATCTCTGTAAAAGCCCCTCTAACGACATTAGCTTTAGTCCTTACTTGACTACATTTCACCCGGCAATCAGGCTGTAATTACTTGGGCAAAGCAGGCACCCAAATGGTGCCACAACAAAGCATATCAGGTAATTAGAGACTTGGTAATTATAACACAGCTCACAAAACAAGCAAAGTTACTGCATATGCACTGCTATGGTTGAACCATCTTCTTTGTGCACAATGGAAGATTGATAAATCTGCTTTAAGGCGCTGAAGGTCGATGTCCTCCAAACTTATGATCAGATTATTCCTATATATCTGGTATCTTTAGCAGCTATTAAACATTCAGCTAGAATCTCGTGTGCAGTGCAAACATCCCAATCTATCTGAGCTCCAACTGAATTGTCTGTGTTTTTTTCCTTATAACAAGCAACACAACGTATGTAAAAAGAGTCAAAATAAACACTTTTTATCTTATGGAATCACAACTCCAGCTGAGTTCTGTATTTACACTGTGGAGACAGCAATTAAGCTTCAGTAATGAGCAGATTATACTGCATTCTTTTTGGTATAGACCTCAGTTAAAGAGGAATAGTGGAGGTGTTGAACAAAAGTAGAAAATCAAGGCTAGCTGAATTGTTTTGATATACATAATGAATTATCAACAAAAGGCTGAAAACACGTCAACTTCTGATAAAGGCTCCTCAAGGACATTTGCTTCAAACCTCTTAATCAAACCATTTTGCACACCTTGTGTTGTTTTTCTTAATTAAACATTTCAAATTATTTTTTGAGCACACAACTGCTTAAGAGCTCATTTTGCATACACAGGGGGAAAAAACCCATACAGAGTAAGAATAGAGGGAATGGAAGTGAATGAATACTGTACCTTTTTTACCTGTAAGGAACACACACCTGACAAAAGGCTATCTTTACATCCAGGACTGGTTGGCTGCAGTTATATAAGAAATGTCTGCTCATAAATACCTGAAAGACACAAACAGAGGAGAAGCAGAGAGTGAGCACATGTAGGTGTGGGTGTGGGTAGTGGCAATTTGTCACATATACAATGGCAAAACAAAGATTTATTATTGTATTTCTGCAAAACAACACTCACACCTCTCCCCGTGTGGGGACTGAAACCCACCAGGAAAATTCACTTGTGTCCTCTCTACTCTGTTCCCATCATTCTCAATAAAAATGAGAAAAACAACAATTCGTCACCTCCCAGTCCTCGATAAATATGAACTGACCAGTTATCGATTCTTCATCAGAGCACATTGCAGTGTGGTTGCAGTGATCAATGCGTGTTGAAAATAAGACATGAGGAGGTGGTCCCATTGATGAGTGAAAGACGATGAGAAGATATTTGCTGATGAATTCCAAAACAGCTGAAAGCAAGTTTTCCCTTTTAAAATGGATTAAAACAGGTTTTGTGTAAATGTAAATTTAAAGCTAACAGTATAATCTATATTTTTTTTAAAACGTGCTTTCTTTTGCCCTTTGTGTGAGATCTGGTTCGTTAAATTTTAGATAGCTTAGCTTGAAGACAGGAGAGACAAAGAAATAGCTGCCCAAAGTTTAAAAAATAATTACTGATCAGCACCCTTAAAAACTAGTACCCCCATTCATTAGCTTCTAAAACCACTTCAACTTTTTTCTGTGTGACTTTTTCAGTCTTTTATATCATTGTGGAAGAATTTTGGCCCACTCTTGTTTACATTGCTTCTCTTCATTGGGGTTTACATACATTCATTTATGCACTGCTGAGGTCTGGACTTGGACCGGGCAACTGCAACACCTCAATTCTTTTCTTTTTCACTCATCCAGTTGTAGATTTGCTGCTTGGGATCATTGTTCTGTTGCATTACCCAATTCTTCCCAAGCTTTAGCTGTTGGACAGATGGCCTCACGTTTGAAATTGAAATACTTTGGTACGTAAAAGGAGTTTATGGTCCATCCAATGACTGTAAGCCATCTAAGTCCTGCAGTTGCAAAACAAGCCCAAATCACTCCACTGCCATGCTTGACAGCTGGTATGAGGTATTTGTGCTGATATGCTGTGTTTGTTTTTTGCCAAATGTAAGGTTTTATCCATCCATCCATCCATCCATTTTCTTCTGCTTGTCCGGCCAGGTCGTGGGGGCAGCAGCCCAAGCAGAGAAGCCCAGACCTCCCTCTCCCCAGCCACCTCCTCCAGCTTATCTGGGGGAACACCAAGGCGTTCCCAGGCCAGCCGAGAGATATAATCTCCCCAGCAAGTCCTGGGTCTGCCCCGGGGCCTCCTCCCAGTGGGACATGCCCAGAAAACCTTGCTCAGGAGGCGCACAGGGGGCATCCTTGTCAGATGAATTTCTCCGTGAATCGCTACCTTATCGTGGTGGAGGAGTTTGTGTGTCCCAGGGATCCCAGGGGCTATGTTGTCTGGGGGCTTTTGCCCCCTGGTAGGGTGTGACCAGACAAAGAGCGATTCAGCAGACCCCTATGAAAAGACCATCGAGGCAACAATTCACCCTGCCCGGGATAGGGTTACCGGGGCCACGCCCTGGAGCCAGGCCCGGGGAGGGTGCCTGGGTGTGAGCGTCTGGTGGCCGGGCCTTAGTCCATGGGGCCCGGCTGGGCACAGCCCAAAAAAGGGACATGGGCCCATCTCCCTGCAGGCCCACCACCCGCAGGAGGCACCGTAGGGATCGGGTGCAATGTGAGTTGGGCGGCAGCCGGGAGCGGAGGCCCTGGCGGACCGATCCCCAGCTACCAAGACTGTAAGGTTTTATATTAAGGCTAAACATCTCCGTGTGCTTATGCATTGATAGTTGATCTCAATATACAATGACATGTCACAGAAATCAAACCGTGACATATATGTTGTGCAACTACATGTTTTTCTGATTTTTCAATCTTAGTGCCACAAATGCAAATAAAAAAAGTGATGTCAACCGTTTTCCTGTTGACACTATGCATTTATCCAACCTCCTATTTTAACACTAGAACACTAAACTTGTTAACCTTTTCAACCTACAGGAACATATCAGTTTGGAAACTAAGAGGATTACACAAGCGGAATATATTTAACACTACCATCACAGGTGAAAAAGCTTTTTCAAAAGCCAGTACCATCAAAGACTGCATTTGCATAAAAGCAGTGCAGTGAATTTTGGTAAAGCTTTGAGGCTTTCACTGTGAAACAGCAGCTAATGGGTAAATTTGGTTTAACTGGAGATTTGCCAATTTTCTTTCGCTTTTTTTTTTCATTGCCAGAGTGAAGCAAAGAGGAAAGAAAGCTCTGAATGACAGTAGCTCCCACATTAAGCTGGAGGGAGAGCTCGCCCACAATCACTCTATCTTTGAGGGGTTTTCAGGTAATGAAAGTCCCAGAGGGCTAAAGACCACGTCTTTCGAATAAGTTCATACATGATGTTAATGATGCTACTAAAAATAGAGAAGGAGGGGGGGTAAAAAGACCTTTTTCGGTAGTTTGGGAGTTCACATGTGGTTGTAAAACTACACAAATGTCACCAAACAGTTTGGAGGACGTCCTCGTCTCTCGCGAAGCATTGAAAGGATCCGACTCTGCAATTTTCTCCGAGGAGCAAATGGACATAAATGTCTCTTTTAACTCTAGCTGTCCTCTAATACTGTCACAGTTCCTGCTTTAATATGTGTGCTGAATCCAAAGGGAGCAAAGCAGCTTTTAGAAAAGAGATAAGGGACTCGAAGGTGGGAGATTTCTGGTTCAGCTTATTTCACTTGAAAAAGTGTTAAAGTAAATGGGTGAATTTCACTGTTGGGTGTGGTAGGAATTTGTGCTATTAAATTAGGAGAAATTAATTAATAATCATTCATAAACGGATTTTTTCAAATCTGTTTTGAAACAAAGAAAAGGGAAGGGCAATGAGACGAGAAAGATATGCGATTTTTGAGCCCACAGTCTCCAACACGTCAAACCACTATAGTAATGTCATTCCACATGTGCGTGTTTGACTAGCGTCCCGGTCACCACATTAAGTAGCATAATATTTGCTGTTACTCTAACAGGTCAACACTGAATCAGCCCTGGCGCGGGGCTAGCTGTATCTGTGCTGCTCTAATCTTTACCTGTCTGAGTACATAAGCTATTAAAGCCCTCACAGGCCAAACTGTTTGTCTTCCAGCAGTATACGCTGGTAAACAACACCTAGATGGTGGCGGGATCCTGCACACTACAGTTCTGTCAAACCTGGCAGCATATTTATATGCAGATGTTCATTTAAAAATATCTAAGGCCTTAGAAAAAAACTAGTAAAACATGTTTTAATTATGCTTTCTTTGCTTTAAAAATTTTTTATAAATAAACAGTTCACTTTCATTTCTAATGCAACACGTTTCCATAAGACTTTTAACAGCAGATGGTGAATACACTTTCATCAGAACGAATGAAAGATGAAGGAGAAACTGAGTACAGACCATAAACAATTTACCTGGGAGCCAACATTTTTTGGAGATTACAGTTTTAAAATGATGGCTGTCTGGCACGTCGTTAAAAACAAGAAAGATTGGGTAATTATCAGGAAAAGTTATTCACGAAAAAGCAATGAAAACGACAGACCAAAACAAATCGCACCACAACAGTTTCTTCCCTCCCACGTTAGCCCACAGCTAAAAACACACACACAAAACAAACACAAAAAACCCACCAGATTTTGTGCTTTGCTTGTTTAACCCTGTGACTACATTCTGTTGATTGTCCTTATGGCCGAAATGCTGCTTGCACCTACAATTATGCTCAGCACCACTCCTTAAAATGCCCATTTATCATCCTGACTGCAATACATCTCCTCAGTACAAGCCGGCATCAGCTGATTGAGAGGTTGAATAAGCAAAAAGTAAGGATAAGGATGATTTTCAGCTCATTCAAAGATTTTGAAGAGTTTTCAGACCTGCCTACATTATTTTGAATGGACCTTAAATTCCAGTGAGGATTTTATAACACTACAGCAGTTACAAGCATGACTTACTCTGCTTTAAAATGCCTTTCACCTTCAGCCTTGCTCTGCAGAAGACTGTGATGTATAGGGCATGTTTAATATGGTTGCAGGGGTTTCTATCAGGAGTGTGGAAAGCGCAGCATCAGACAAAACTGTGTAGAAAACAGCTTAGAGTGAGCAGTGCAGATACCGTTTCCAACAGTACAATGTCTCATGTCAGATTCATTGCCTTTATAAGAAAGCTAACTTTGCTAATGGCAGCATAAATTCCTTGATAAATGGCCTGTATTTGTATAGCGCTTT